AAATAGATCTGGCCTTGACTCTTCCACATCTATGTGACCTCAGATAAATCCCTCAGTTTCTCTAACACAGTTTTGTTGTCTTGTCTCTAGAGCGAGCCTGGGTCCTTTCAGAGACTGGGTGCTAAGTTCTACTGTGCTACTGACAACCTTCACTGGGAGGGTGAACGGGGTAACGGGTACATGATCATGAACTCTTAACCACCATAGAGCTTTTTCTTCCAGACTAATTAACAGTGTGGACTTTTTACCCCCCCTGTTCCAGAAAAACTGGAAAACAGCTAGAACAGGTTTAATAGAGACAATCTGGGTCAACATTGAAGACAAATATGTATTAATTAAAAAGTAAAGATAAAGATGAAGAATAAGAGAAACCATTTGTAATCACTAAAAAGACAAAAGTCACAAAATAAAAATGATGTAAAGTCATTTATGTTTAACCTGCTATAAATACAAATAACCAAGAGAAAAGTTCACTGTTGGGACCATCTGTGTCTGATAAGCATAAGTTTAAATCCTGGTACCATCTGCTTAACTGGAATCTAATACTATATCAAATATGCCAAATCACAATTAGGATAGTAAGGATAACTGTCTTGTGGCATTTAATCTAAATACCGACCATTCTTTAATAGGATGAGAAACTTCAGCCAAACCAACTTGGTTGAAAATTACTTTAGTGCTTTATGTTCACCCTGATTAAGACCAAACAGAGACATGTAATTGGCAAAGTGACAAGCTATGAGACTTTCATAGGAGGAGAAACATTCTGGGTAGAGACCCAGAATACTCTGGAACATAGAAATGATGAGAAGGAACAATGAAGGCAGAGAATCGAAGTAGAAATTTAATAGTATTTCCATCCATCTAGGGCTAGTTGCTAGTACCTAACCACCTGACCTACTGTCACATATTAGTCACAGAGTATTTTTCAGTGGGGAGCAGGCAAGCTATCAAAACATGATCTAGTAGTGAGATAGCTATTGCCAATATGATAAATTCTTAAATTTTGAGACTTTTAAGATCACCTAGTCCAAAGCCTTTATTTTACAAATGAGGAAACTGGGGCCCCCAAGGTTAAACATCAATCTCTTTTCTCCCAGACCAATATTTATACTATCCATGATGTTTCCCCTAGATGTCCAGCAGCCAAAGGCTTTTGCGTAGATCTTCCCTTTCTTATCAAACAAAATCATGTGCTTTTCAAGCTACACCCCCTAATGCAGGGGTGGGCAAACTTTTTGACTCGAGGGCCACAATGGGTTCTTAAACTGGACCGGAGGGCCAGAACAAAAGCATGGATGGAGTGTTTGTGTGAACTAATATAAATTCAAAGTAAACATCATTACATAAAAGGGTACGGTCTTTTTTTTTTTTTTTAGTTTTATTCATTTCAAACGGGCCGGATCCGGCCCGTGGGCCGTAGTTTGCCCACGGCTGCCCTAATGCCTCATGCCTTTCCTAAAATTTCCTGCCTATCTTACTATCCTAGAAGCAAGTTTCTCTAAGATGGCATCTTTCATAATCTTAAACTCTATTTCACAAAATATGAGTTATTCATATTATCTCCACATCACTATGGAAGAGCTATGTCATGATTTTTAGGTTAAGTACAATTAACAAAATGATCTCTATTATCCTTTGGTCTGGACATACCAGAATAACCACCAATTCCATAAAATTCCAAGGAACCATCCTTTCAAAGTTCTGTGCCTTTGCACATGCTGTTCCTTCTACCGGGGTGATCTTCCCCCCTTCTAAACCCAAATCCAGCAGCCCAACCCCTGCTCATCTTCAAAGACCCAACTCAAATGTTGCCTCTACTTCAGAGTTTTTCCTGATTTCAACCAAAAGTCATAGTTGGTTTCTCCCTCTGCATTTTCATTTTGCCTCAGCTCTAACACTTATAAATGATCTACTAATTATTTATATTTGTGTTTGTATCTCCACTAGAGCATTAGCACCTCATAGGCAGAGATAGAGTTTTACATATCTTCAGCATATAATAGGCAAATGTTTTGTTGTTGAATGATGTCAATAGGATAACAGAGTCATTGCCAACATCTACACAATTTTTCTTAATCTAGCCTCCATACACTGACAATGACCTTTTGGTATAAAATTTATTATGGTCAGTACCCATAAAGTATTATAAGATTTGTGGGTACAGCCCTAGCTGGTTTGGCTCAGTGGACAGAGCATCGGACTGTGGACTGAAGGGTCCCAGGTTCAATTCCGGTCAAGGGCACATGCCCGGGTTGCAGGCTCAATCCCCAGTTGGGGTTGTGCAGAAGGCAGCCGATCGATGATTCTCATCGTTGATGTTTCTCTCTCTCTCTCTCTCCCTCTCCCTTCCTCTCTGAAATCAATAAAAATATATTTTTTTAAAAAAAGATTTGTGGGTATAGAGAAAAAATGAGAATGGTTATATTATCAAGTTTTTAAACTCTTATGGTGGGTTTTATGCCTTTTAAAATAAGAATCAGACATTAAAATACTTCCAAAGGGCCATGAGGCTCATTCCCATGAGGATAAATTTTCAATAGTGAATCTCAAAAGACCTGTCTGAAGTTTAATAAGGAACAGAGAATATTATACTATAATTTTTCATCCAAAAAGCTAAAAAATTATCTCATTTCTATAATATAAATAAAAATAAAATTTACTACTTATTGGGGGCTAACCATGAGCCAGGTCTTTAATTAAGCACTTTATAGTCATAATTTCATTTAACCTTCTCTGCAATACCATCAATAGATACTGTCATCATTCCCAGTTTATAGATGAGGAAACTGAGGCATCAAGAGTTTAAGTTGTACATACAAAGTCAAACAATGAGTGGTAGAATGAGGGTTTGACTCAGTCAGACTGATTCCACAGCTCCTGCTCTAGTTAAAAAACAAAACAAAACATGGAAGTCAACAGCTCAACAAATTCAATGAAGCTCCCTGGGCTAAACAAAAGATAGAGGACTTTAGCTCCTTTTAGCAAAGGACAAAAGAGCCACACCCTTGGGAGAGGCACTGGAACCTCCAAAGAAAGGGGAAGCATGAGACTTTTATCTACTCAGAGGAATGAATTATTAAAAGTTTGAAATCATTGAATCAGTAGACTAAGCTCTGTGCATAAAAACAAGATTTTATCATGCATGCAAAATGACTCCATCTAAAAGCATAAACTGAGAACATTTTATTCCATCAACTGGGTGGGCTTGTGTACTTTCATAAGGTGGAAATTGAACTCGACTTTAGTGAGGCCAGTGTATACATTTCCTGGCAATTATTTATTTATAGCTTATTGGACAGCTTTTAGCTTTCATCTAAAGAGACAGTTAGTGATGTATTTCTGTTTTCATTAGGGGAGAGTGGAAAAGGCTTAGGTTCCTTTAGGAGAGATCGGTTTCTGGCCCATCTTAGTACCTCATTTTTTATCATAATAACTTTTTTTCTATAGAAAAGGTAGTGATTGTGATGTGTATGGTTTACATATAAATTAACAACTTCTTTGTACAGTGATATTAGTTTTCCAAGTGTTTCCCTGCAGACATCACCTTATTTGAGCCATGCAAAAACCTGGTGAGGTGGATGGATTTGCTGTCATTATTTGCAGGGAAGTCCAGTTGTTGCCTTAGCTCACAAAACTGGTTTAGTAGCACAACTGGGGTATGAAACCCTAGCCCTGTGATTCTAAGTCCACACTCTTCTACTAAACAGCCACTGTGTTCACCTATCGTTCTAAACTTGCTTACAAATTACTTCATTGGCTTAGTACCTATTTAAATAACTTGTGATCCTGGATGGAGAAGGAATACACAGTAAATATGAGAGATTTGACCAAGACAGACTAAATTTTTAAAAATGTGTGAAGCTTTTATAGTTTACACTTTTCAAAAGAGGGCTAAAGTCTGCAGTTTTTCTTGTGGAATGAGGCTGGGGAACTAGCTTTAGAGATAGATGGTCAGAGTCTACCAAATAGGGAGGTTTGAACAATTCATCTTCACTTTTGAATTTGGAACATTCAAAGGCAACATCAAAAGCAAAAATAATTCATTTCCTCCCCATTACTGAAACTGGCTGCTAATATGGCACCTGTTTGGCATCCGAAAATGCAAATGCTTCTGTACAAAAGCAAAATACAATAATTGAAGATTATATTCTTTACAACAGATCATCTCCCCCTGCTGTTATTTATTTTTTTCCCTCAAGGGGACTAATTCATGTTTTTTAATTCTTCCTTTTCTCCCTCTCCTTCCCTAGGACTGACTGCCAGGATAGGAGAGGATTTATCACAAATAGATACAATCCAAACACCTGGGCAATTTTGCCTTATCTCCCTAGGTAAACTGGGATCTTTTATGTTTGTTATCTGCCCTGTTTATGAAAGATCTAAAGAGTGTAAAACCCAATGGATTCCACTTAAAGTGCAAATAATGTAACAGCATATTCCTTTGGGGAAAGGACTATGATGGACAGAACCTTTTTTTAAATATATTTTTATTGATTTCAGAGAGGGAGAGACAGAAACATCAATGATGAGAGAGAATCACTGACTGGCTGCCTCCTGCACACCCCACACTAGGGATTGAGCCTGCAACCCAGGCATGGGCCCTGATCGGGAATCGAACCACGACATCCTGGTTCATAGGTCAATGCTCATGTTGAGTCACGCTGGCCGGGCAAACTCTTTATCTTTTATAATAAAATAAAATAAAATGGGGGTGAGATGGAGAAAAGAAAAAAGAACTGTGAGGAGGGCTGACATGCCTCCTTCAATCTCATTTCCATGCTGTAGCACCTGCTTGTCCTACAGCCTTTAACACTATTCTTTGCCTAATTAGTATTGTCTGCCTGATTAACTCCTCATTTTTCATACTTTGCTTAAGAAATGCCACCTCAGGAAAGACATCCTTAATCATTCCAGTGAATTAAGTATTTTCTCTTCTATTTTTGCCAATACCTTTATCATTTCTATATTATAGAAGTGTTCCATATATTCATACATACCACATTCCTTAAGTCATGTATAAAGATCTAGTTGCATATATCAAACTGTAGATTTACACTTTCCATGATGGATACTCCTAAATAAGAAAAAAAATAATATGCCTAATTACACCTCCCATTTTAGACAGTTATTTTCAAAATAGAGTTCTTACATTTGATAACATTTTCTACTATGATTTTTTTCCCTTCCTAGTTGAAAACTTACTCAATTAGCTGAAATCCAATGTTATCCACTTGAGGCTAAGAATTTGCCTCTTTCAGCATGCTTAAAGATTTCCATCTTTGTGTCAATTATATGAGGCTTATGAGAGATATGCTTATCATCAATATCAGCACTTTCACTTTCTATTCTCTACTCATTTTTTATAAAATAATAAGAACAAGATGCAATAAAATATTCAAATAATTATTCAAATGTATTCATACTGACAGATGATAATGCAGTGGAACTGAACTCTCAACTGCAATTCCATACAACACTTTTCACCCTTTGTAGCCCTGGAATATGGAACAGTGCAGTGCAATGGGGATTAGTAGGTGCTTAATAAATCTATATCTATACTGGTGAATGACAGGTATGGTATGCAAATGACACAAACATTTGAGAATTCCCCACTCCCCCTTTTATTTTTTAATCTTGACCCAAGGATATGTTGGGGTTTTTTTTATTTGGGGGGGAGAGAGAGAGAGAGAAAGAGAGAGGGGGGGAGAGAGATGTGTGAGAGAGAAACATCTATCATGCCTCCCATATTCACCCAGTCCAAGATTGAACCCAAAACCTAAGTATTTTTCCTTACGGGGATTGAACCTGCAACCTTTTGTTGTATAGAATTAGGCTCCAAACAACTGAGCCAACCGGCCAGCGTCCCCTAATTCCTTTTAATTAGAATGGCTTAGAGGCAGCGGAACATACCATACATAGAAGCCATTACAATCAGTGGTAAGAGAGATGAGCTTTATGAATACGATTCAAATGCCAGTGCTGATGCCTCCTACCTTTGGGATCTTGGACTTGTTTACCAACTCTTAGCTACCCACAATTTTTCATTCTAAAAGGACAATAACAGAGTTGTTACAAAGTTGAAATAACATAAATATTGGTGCTTTCAACATATGTACAGATGATTTTTGAATACTCCTAATCCCTCTCTCTTCTAACAACCACATCTTCCACACTCAGCCATTCACTTTCAAGGTCATATCCTCAGCTGTGTCATTATTAATTGTTCGACCTTCTGTGAGCTCAGTTTTAAACATCCAACCATCTCCTCCTATCTTTCTAACTTATTTTTCCACTACTAAATTCCAACTGCCCTTTGACTCTATAGTGAACCTCAATCTATCAATACTATACCTTTTTATTGTCCTTCATCTCCTCCATGTCCTCATTGCATTTCTTTCCCAATTGAAATTCAATGGTCAATATTTTAATAGTTCTATTGGATACATCTTCAACTCTTCTGCCCCTACTTTGCAGAAACCTAATGCCTGCTGGTTAGGATGAAATCTGAGCCTGCTCCCCACCTGCATCCAGGCAGCTGGACTTGGCTGGAGAAAAATGTACAAAGTACAACTGTGCTGAATGATCTCACTTTCAATTCATAGCCACCTACTTCAAATGAGTCCTTAATACTTTCGGTCAATTCACTCCCCTAGTTCATTCACTCTCCCACAGGCCTAGATAACTATTTTATGTCATCTTTTCTCTCTCCAAACTTCTAACACTTCCTTCTCCATCCTCAGTCTTTCAGCTTATCTTCCTGAGCAAACAGAAACTATCTAAAGGGACCATCAACAAGCTCCCATCAAAGCATATCAACTAACTTTCTATACCCATATGTTCTATTACTGCTTGATATATATATACTAGAGGCCCGGTGCACAAAAATTTGTGCACTCGGTGGGCGGGGGGAGGGGGGTCCCCCAGCCCGGCCTGTGCCCTCTTGCAGTCTCGGACCCCTCGGCAGATAATGACCTGCTGGCTTAGGCCTGCTCCCGGGTGGCAGAGGGCAGGCCCAATCCCTAAGTGCAGCCCCTGGTCAGGCTCAGAGCAGGGCCGATTGGGGAGTTGGGGCGCCGCCCCGTCATGCACAGAGCAGGGCGGATCGGGAGGTTGCGATGCCACCCTCAGTCACGCTCAGGGTAGGGCCGATTGGGGGGTGGGGGCACCGCCCCCTGTCACACTCAAGGCAGGGTCGATGGGGAGGTTGCAGCGCCACCCCCTGTCAC